AATATCAAAATTAGATAACCAAGGCATATTAGTATGCTGAATATAATTTTGTAATTCTACGTTAAAGGCAACAAAGCTAGTGACGGTATTATATTTTACTATGTTTGATCCTTGATTAAGGTAATTCTGCTACCCTTTTTGCTCATTATCAAATGCCATAAATAAAAGTCCCGTAGGTAACGCTTCTTCTCCTTTAGACAATTCATCCAACCATCTTTGGAAATAAAAATAACTTCCCGAACTAGTAATGTGATTATCAATATTGATAATTGTTTTCAATCTCGCAATAGAATATTTTATAGTTGACATAGCGAGGTTTATCTCTAACACATATTTTCCATGTCTTGATCCATATATTAAGTCGACAGCTATTGTTCTCTTGAAAATTTTCTCGGCATTCTCGGTATTTATTAAACCTAAATCAAGAGTCTTTTCATTATAAGTTAATGTTTCAATAAACCTTACAATTACCTTATTACATTGGCTTAGCCAAGTTTGTGATGTATAATTTAATAGGCATTCTAAAGAAAACCTATTCTTGTCCTTAATTAAAAAGTTAATATCCTCAAATAAAGATTCTCACTCAAGTAGCACAATATTAACAACTTCTTGTACACGCTTTTCCTAATTGCAATGCCAAGAATTCCATTGTTCGACGAGATTCTTATTTACTTCAATTTTTTCTTGGTTTAGATCATTTAATCTAATTATTTCTTCACAATACCCATTTATCTGATTTTTTAATTCTGATATTTTTTGTTTTTGTTCTTCTACTCGCTGCTGTAATTCTGAAATTGTGTTAGTAAGAAGCATTATATACTCATCTTGATTTCCTGTTTCATTCCCACTCAATTCTTTCATTTTTTCAAACTTGACCAATAAATGTGACGCAACACTAGTGATTATCTCTTGAGAGGTAGAAGTAGTATCAATCTGAGGTCTTTTATTTTCATGGCAAAGCCGTTGGTAAAATTGCTCCTTAGATACAACTTTATTATAATGCTGTTGGCAAACAAAATAATGATAAGATTCTAAAAGAAGATCATTAAGTTCCGGCATAAAATCAACAAATAGCTCAAGTTGTCTAACTGCTTCTGAAGAACTTGCATTTTGCCAAATTTGCTTTTTTTTTGTCTCACAAAGACTTAATCTGATCTTCTCATAGTACTTATTAACTAATTTAGAGAATATACAAGGTAGAGTTTCAGCTTTTAGCTTTTGTTGAGCTGATAATAGATGCGATATAATTTAAATTAGTACTGCTAATATTAAAGAAAAAAAAGAAAAAAAAGACTTATTTGTTAAGTTAAAATAGCAATTTTTTTTAAATTTTAGGCTCTGATCTATTTTTTCAAAGAACGTTGATCTTGAAATGATCATTAGTGATCATAAAACTAGAGTTTTTTTTACTATTAGTTCGTAAGTTATAAGCTGCAAATGAATATTGCACAAAGTCCCAATTTGTATCTGAAGAAGACTGATATGAGCCAATACAAGCCAATCAAATTTTAAGGATCTTCAATAGAGTATTCTAGACTCGATTTCTAATTTTGGCAATGTGCCTGACTGCACTTGGGACCAAGCTTTAACAATGTGCACTTAGAGATTAATAAGAGAATGTGTATTTATAAGGCATGTATATATATATTTGGGCCAGAACTTGATAAAGAGAGTGTACACTTATAGAGGGCTTATAGAGGTTTTACTATATATAGAATTATATTTATTAAATAGTATTTTTTTTTTTAATTTGGCAGTTTTGTCTCTACTGTTTATTAGATTTTACACTTAGGTATTTTTTGGTTACAAATATCACAAGTACAGTTACAACTATTTAAAGTATATACAGTATTAGCTTACTCAGTTATTAACTTGAGTACCTATGTATAATCTGCTATATGAGCTCTTTAATAACCGCCCTGCAATTAGACCAGTTACTAACTCACTAGATAGTTTTCAAATCTATTTTATTATATATATTCTGCTTATATACTACTGTACAATATCTACTAACTAACTTCTATCTCTTATCACTTATCTAATTCAGTTCTTGTATTACTTCCAAATTGGTATCTTTTGAGTGTATACATGCTACCAAAATTGATTTTTAAAAAAAGCCTATTTTGGGTTTTCAAAAATAAATTAAAATTTTTTATAAGGAATTGCAAATAAAATTTATATATTTATGTTTTTTATATTTTAGTCTATTCAAAAAAAGTTTCAGGTTTTAAGTAAAATAGGTCAAAAACAATTTTGGGAAAAATTTTCAATTTTAGGTTTCAAAACTTGAAATAATTTTAGCGGCATATATATTCAAGTAGGTGCTCTTTGTATTTTTAGTTTGGTGTCTCTAGAGGAGTTACTTTAAGAGCCTAGCCATATTTTAAACAGTTGCTTGTACAAAACTAGGATGTTATTTCACATTGATCCAAGTATTCATATTATACTCCACCAAATTAGGCTATCGCTTCTTTTATAGTACTCTCTATCAGTATGGTGTTACAGAAGTTTAGATCCTTAAAATAGGAGTTATGTACCTTATTTAATCACTATCACGAGCCAGTGACTTGAGATATGCCTTTGCTATATTTTATTATTGACTTCCATATAGGTTGTGCAATATATTACTTCTTGGCCATCTTTATTTTTGTATTACCAGATTATTTACTTCCATGCTTTTCAGAGTTTCTTTTAGCTGTTTTTTTTGTTTCTTTGTACTAGAGATGTTTTATATTAGGTAAAGCTATTCTCTTGCCACAGCCTTTTACTATGTTCACTACTTTTTTTACTACTTCTGGATATACTATATATAGCTGTCCTTCCAATCAAGATTCCAAGGTTGTTGGTGCTACTTTGCCAATTGTGGATTTACACATATAGCCTTCTGCAGTAAACCTTTATAATACAGTGTCTAATTTTTTCCATGGCTCGGAGCTTCTTTCAAGAATTTTTTATAGGCCAAATATAAATATCATATAGTCTTATTGCTACAGAGTTTCATATTCGAAAGCTTCCAAAGATTACAAAGATAATTATTACTACTAGCTATAATTGAACTGTCAACCTTATCTGTGGAGGGTTAGATGCCTAAACTACTAGGCTATAAGACCCTAATCTATTTATTAAATAGTATTAAAATTTTTATATTTTTAAATTAGTTAAATATTATAATTTTTCAAAAGAAACTTTTTTTGACAATTACTCATACCAAATTTTTTTAAAAAAATTTTCTATCTTAAATATAACTTAAAATATTTCTATTAAACATAATAAAAAGAAGGCTAAAAAGTTCTATAAAATAACATTTATTGTTTAGAAGTAGTTTTTATACACTACTTGCCAATAAACTTAGAGTTTATTACTTACTGCTAAGGCAGTATCTGTTATTTAGAAATAGCTCTTATATACTATTTGCTAATTTGTTTAAAATTTATCACTTACTAAGTTCAACACCTGGCCTTACTCAAAGTCTTGAATTGTTTAAAACTTATTTTATTCTTATAAAAGAAGATATATACTTTCTTTTAATAGCTACTCTACTTCAAATTTTTTTTAACAAAAAGTAAGCAATTTGGCTTACCTTTAGCAGATAATTGGCTTTGTTTACCACTTTCATTTTGGGGATTAACTTGGTATACTACAACTATGTATTTTGTATATATCTATACATATTCATATAACACCTTCTATGTTATGTTTTTGGACAAGTCATATGTAATAAGATAATGAAACGAAATTAAAAAATATTTAATCTAAATAATGAAGAGTTATATAAATTTTAGAGATATATCGCTGCTGTAGAAAATATAATATTTTTTTAGTCTTACACAGGTTATAATAGTGTATTTTTTTCTTCTTTATATGTATATTATTATTATAACTTCTTTTTTTTTGTTTTTTCTAATTTTCTTCTTTTATATTTTATATTTTATTAGTATACTTATATCTTTTTTTTATCACCTTTCCTTTTTTACACTTTCTTTTCTTTTGTTTTTAGTTTTTTTTTTATTGTAGTTAGATTATATAATAGTCTTTCTGCCAAGATCTAAATAGAAAAAATTTAAAGAAAAGAGATAGTCATAACAGGCTAGTAAAACCATGTTAAAGATATATTTGAAGGGACTATAAGAAACAATTAAATATTGAAATGAATTCTACTTTGGCAGATCGCATATAGATGCTTATAGTAATTGGATAAGTTATATTTCTATTTACAAATACTTAGTATCAAATTTTTTTTTTTTTTTAATTCAGCAGTTTTGCCTTAACTGTTTATTAGTACTCTGAGGTATTATAGTTACAAATATATGTATATACATTTACAACTATCTAATTATTACAAATAAGACTCACTCGGTTACTAACTTAGTACCTATGTGTGACCTGCTATATGAGATTTTACCTTCTTAGTAACCGCCTCTTTTGACCAAACCAATTACTAAATCACTGGATAGTTCCCAAACCTATATTATCATATAGTATATATCCCACTTATATACTACTATACAATGTCTACTAGCCAACTTCTACATCTCAGTACTTATCATATTACTCTTAATTCATTTCTTGTACCACTTCTAAATTGGTGTCTCTCAAGTGAACACTCTTGATACTTCTAGTTTGGTGTTCTCGGGATGTTACTCTAAGGGCCTAGTTTGTATCTCAAGCCAGATATAGGACCTGCTGCTACAACCAGGATGTTATTTTACAATTCTCAAGCGTTAAGAGAGCTGACGGAAATCAGCTAATTTTTTAGTGGGTAGATGGATCAGCCAAAGTGTCAGGTGTAATTCTGGCCGGAATTATTAAATTCTGGCCAAAATTATATTATAAATTTATATATAAATTTATATATAAATTGAATATTAAATAACTTTTGATTTACTAAACCAATTTGGATGATTTAACTACCAAAATTATCATCTCAATAACCTGATTCTAACAAGCCTAAAATCATCAAAATCCAATCACTAGATCCTGAGATCGATATAGATTTGTATACTATATACT